ATCTTGTCTTGCAAGCTGGCTCTGGGAAAGAGACAAAAGAGGGAGAATGTCTTTTGAAAAGAGGGATGGGAGAAATTTAGATTTTGGAAACTTCCAGTTATGTTTATATTTTGCTCCTAGTAACTTGCCTTACTTATATGTAGCTAGAAGAGATATACGAGACTCATACAGAGATCGGGGACTAATTAAAAATAGAAACCAGTAATCGCCAATGTTGTGGAAAACTTAGCAGCAGGAGAATTGATACTTTCCCCAGTATTTCCAACTGATGCTGCAACAGCAACACAGGTAGAAATATTAAATAGGAGAGGCACCCCAGTGGTCAAAAGAACCATGCCAAACATCAAACACAGAGGGGGTTCCTGACAAAACAGGACTGGGTAGTTGAGCTGAGCCAGATCTTAGAACCGAGCACTTCTATTGGCCAAACAGGCCTGCTGCAGTGAGCCTTAAGAGGCCTGTAGCTCAATGGACTGCTCCTCTGTTGGTGACTTCTTAAAGGTACACTCATCTGTTCTCACACAGGAAGGTTACTACGGCAGTTCAGAGCACTTAGTTCTTGATTTCACGACACTACACTCATCTGTTCTCACACAGGAAGGTTACTACGGTAGTTCACAGCACTTATTTCTTGATTTCACGACATAGCACAGGAACTGGTTTTGCCTCTTCAGCCAGTGGCTGTAAACAGAGCCTAACTTCACTGGAGCAGTAGTAGGACTGATTATGCCAGAACCACGTTGTTTCAACGATTACATTTGAAGCCACTGGGTTGTCAACCTGTGTGACAGCACTGACAGGTAGAGAATTTCCTGGCTTCAGAGAGAGACAGTGGAAGTGTGATATGACCTAGGAAGAAAGAGAAGCCAGGAGAGACATTGGAGGAAAAAATAGAGAGTTCACTGATGTCTTCTGAAAGACTTTCAGTGAGCCAAAGATTTTCCCAATTTAACCCCAAGTGCAGAGAGCTGGACTAAAAGCACTGAGGATTCCTCTGGGGATAGACTAGGTGAATCTCTCTAGGGAAGTCGAAGGACAGTGAGAGCTGCCATGCAAGCTGGTACCAGATCGTGTACAAGATCAGGGAAAAGCAGCACACAAGCTTGTTTTTTACATAGGTGGGAGGGTTGTGACTATCATTCCTGTCCCTCAGTGACTACATGGTAGCTTGTTCCTCCACTTTATAGAAGTCCCCAGTGGCACTGCAAGATTTTTTTGATTCCCATCATAATTTGTGAGCACTTATATGACAAGGACCGTCAGATTCTTATTATGCTGAGGTGTTTGCACCGGAACAGAAAGTGGACCCTGTCATAAACCTGCCATGATGATAGATTGAAGAGAAATGCAGCCTTAACTTAGCTTCTGGGTTATGGAGTCAGTAAACAGCCAAAACATGGGGTACTTAAGAGCACTTAGTACCAACTCCATCAGCTTCATTTAGCATGAACTCTTTAATTGACAATATTTTTTCTCCTCTTTTTTCCTTTTTTCCCCACCCCCATCCCCTCTCTGCTATTTATTTGGAAACTGGACCCCTTCACTCCATCTGAAGAAGTGGGCTGTGCCCACAAAACCTTATGATACCAACTACGTTTTTGTTAGTCTCTATGGTGTTGCAAGCCTGTTTATTATTTTTAAGCCAAAACTCAGTGATGGTTCTTCTGTGTATATGATTTTTGTAGGGGTAATTTGGGGAAGGGGGTTCCCCATGTCCCATTGACGTTTCAACTGCAGAACTGACCTGGACTAACTCAATCCATGCCTGGCAGAGTTTTGTTGTTGTTGTTGTTTTTTAGTTACTCTGAACTTTCTGGCACAGAAGATGGAGACAGTAAAGACAAAATAGTGGTTAGCTAAGAACAGAATAATAGGGACCCAGAAGGAAACCAGGAAAGGGCCCACAGAGGCAGGGCAACCTAGAGTGATTTAGACCCTCCAAGTGTACCCAGCGAGGGGGAGTAATTCCTACCACTACCAGATGTACACCCCCCTTCAATAGTATAGAAAAGAAAAGGGACAATGAAAAGTTGAATCATGTATGACAGTGTTTGGCTATGGTTAATGAGGTCTGCTGGATCTAGTATTCTGATTTGGAGATAGAAAGAAATATGCTTGTCAAAATCATCAGAACTCTCTTAATATCTCAACCACACATATGAAACAGCACTGGTACCAATACCTAGTCCTGGTGCACACTATTTATTTCTACCCCTTGACAATGTCCTCGTGATCATTTAAAGATCCTTCAGTGACTTGAATGACAAGCCCTTTGTTATCTTAATCACCCCGCCCCTTCTGTTTATAAATACTCCCTGCCCCAGAGGCAAAGCCGGTAGCAGCCCAAGCTCTGTTGAAGTTAAAGCACATGACCTAGCCCCAGACACACAGCTCTTAAGCAGACCTCAAGTATGAAATTCAGAGATACAAACGTCAGGGGACATAGTAGCAACACTCTTTATCCCTCTCCCTCCCCCCATGAAATTCAGAGATACAAACGTCAGGGGACGTAGTAACAACACTATATACCCCTTTCCCTCCCCCTGTCCCACACACCAAGCACCTCTGCTTGAGCCTTGTAACAGAATGCTCAAGAGAGCATTGTAAATTTAACTACCAAAGCCCAACGTTGGACAAATTGCTTATATACCTGTTGTTTGCAATGCATGAGGTACCACTCTTTTCTAGAAGGTTTGCCAATTTGAATTGTTTTTGTGGAGGACATGATATTTTGGCCCTGCAAAAGGAAAGACTAGGCATTGAATGTAATCATGAATATCCTGAAATGATGGGAATGCCTGGATTCTGTAGCAGCTTTTGCTTGTAAGAGCCTGCAGGGAGCACAGATTCTCACAGTACTCTACTATCAAAAACGTGCTCAGCCATGAGTATGTCAACAAGAGGACCTGCTGCTATTGCCAAGCAACAACAAAAAAACCAAACTACTTGTCATACAGCTGGGACCCTTTGATTTAATGTCCTGAGTAGAGTTTGCAGATGGTAAATTATTTGTAGTTGGGGACAGGCAAGGTACCCAGAAATATCACATAAATTTAGAATGCTAGCTGGGTACATCCCAGCAACATGAACACGCTGTTCTACTGGTACTAAGAAATGCAGAGGCCCACTTTTTCATAGTCCCAAGCCATTTGTTTCCATATAGCTTTTCCAAGGACAGGAAATATAAAACTGTTTCCACACATCCTGTAGGAAAGCAAAATGAAATATGAAATGGCTCAGTTCATTACTTCAGTCTTGAGCTACAGTATGTAGCTTTAACTAAAACTTGCTTTTCTAAGTATTCCTTGAACAGCTAGCAGAGCCATACTGAGAACAATTGACAGATTGTCCTTTCTAGGCTGCTGGGACTAAATCAGACAATCCTGCTGACTCAGCTCCCAACCTCTGTCACCAATCACTGATTACTGAGTTCGGGACAGCTATGGATATTTTGCTGTCTTGTGAACATAATTTACTATTCACTGTCACAGAGATTAATCTTATGTGATTCAGAGACACCTCTCAAAAAGATGCAAGCATGATTTTTTTTCTCTTTTAAATATGAGTTCAGCAACAGTTGTAAAATATGGAACTTTACAATGTCTCGAGAGTCCACAGATTTTTTTCCCCATCATCTTTTTTCATTCTAATTTGGTTGTGCCTTCAAGAACAATGACCTCTAACTGCCCATTAAAGACTTTTAGATTTTACTAAATGCAGCACTTTCCTAAAATATCATTTTATTTGAGGCAAAAATCAAATGCATCTCTAGGACTGCCAGATAGTTTAACCAAATATACTGAACACTCCCACGCCCAAAAAAAACACCAGGAAAAAAAATCTGTTGAGAAAAGGAGCGGGAAGACCAAAGTTGTTGAACAAACAAAAAAAGACCCCGACAGCAGTTATTAACCAAAATAAAATTAAAACAAAACATAAAACATCAGCATGGCCCCTTTAAGAAGAGGCTTTTTTTGCTGGCAGCCATCTTGTTTTTCTATTCCAGCCACAAGACAAGCCCCTGCAGAACCAGGTAAGCGAGGGGGCGGGGACTGGGGCTGGTTGCTAAGTGTATCATAGGGTTGCCAGATGTCTGGTATTTTCGCCTCCTGGCAGGGGAAAAAAAAAATCAGAAAATACCAGACATTTTAGGTATCCGGTATTTTCTGAATTTTTTTTTACTGTACAGGAGGCGAAAATACCAGACTGTCTGGATTAATACCGTACTCCTGGCAACCCTATGCATCTCCCATATTTGAGTGAGGAAAACAACCTGAAGGCCTACATTTACCAAAGGAGTTGCACAATTTATGGCTCATCAGTCTATTTTTTTTTTTTAGTTTTTTTCCTCGTTTTTCTCTCTCTCTTCTTTAATCAGAACAGTGTATGAGTAAATCTTAAAAGCGTGATTTACAATGTATGCTAGGTGTACAGATTACAATTACACTGGTTGAAAGCATTCTGGGCAGATGTATTACGTTTCCCTCGTACCGCTCTGCAAATGTATCTAAGTACTAATCCTGTAGGCGGTTAGTGAAGCTTCACTTGGAGAGGCAGTAGCTTCCCAACCCAGGCCCTGCCCCCTTCCCACTGTCTCCCTCTTCTTCCCTGCACATCCTATGTTCCTGATGACTGCATGCTTGTCCTCTTCGCAGAACAATATGCTCTTGGGCTATGTCTACACTCGTGGCTTCTTGCACAAGTATGGCCATTCTTGCACAAGAATCCGCAGAGCATCTACACTGCCCGCCCGCTCTTGCGCTAGGAAATTTACAGTACGGCATGGTAAGAAAGGGCTTCTTGCACATGCTCTTTTCTAACAGGTGTAAGCTCTCTTGCGCAGGAGCTCTTGCGCAAGAGGTCAGTGTGGACACTTGGCAGGGATTTCTTGAGCAAGAAAGCCCTATGGCTAAAATGGCCGTCGGAGCTTTCTTGTGCAAGAGAACATCCACACTGCCATGGGAGCTCTTGCGTGCTTGTGCAAGAGAACATCCACACTGCCATGGCAGCTCTTGCGCGAAAGCACAGCGCGCACATGGCAGTGTGGATGTTTTCTTGCACAAGATTTCTTGCACAAGAACCCTTGCGCAAGATGTCCTTGCACAAGAAGCCGCAAGTTTAGACATAGCCTTACAGTCTGGCCATCTGTTGATCAGACTATCAGTTGTGCCAAGTTATGCTTTATCACGATCAGATTCAAGTTGTATTTTTCAACAGTTCTATCAAGTTTTTTGGAATGTTGCAAGTGAAATCTTTGGCAGGTGTATAGCACTTGTTTCCAATCAGTGACCTAATTTGGTTACATTTTATATGAAATATGAAGAAAAAATAACTGGAAATTGTGGATCTTAAATATAATTAGACTGAAATTAGAAGACTAGTAATATAAAGATGGTAAAACATGCATCAAATCAGTTATTTAAACACCATATGTAAAGTGTAAAACTGAACACTGCTCCACTTGGCATTCTAAGACAAAACCTGAAACTCCATTAACCATCCTCAGCACTGTCATAAATGTATACAGTCATTTTAACTATAAAGATTCTTCTGCCTTATCTGAAAGTGGTGTCAGAAATAAAATAAATAATGTTTCTGAAAAAAGGGCAAATTAATTCTGCTATCACCAAGTATGGTGCATGAAACAGGCACTCCCAAGAAACAGGATGCAACCATCAGTCAGTTTTGGAGCAATCTTTGTAAGGACCTTTAAAAACTTACACCTAAAAGTAATAATTCTGTGAGACAAGATTCTACAGACAGAAATCCAAAAAGCTATATTTCACATCCTCATCACCAGTTCTTCAACTCACTCTCTTTATAGCTTTCACCTCCAGATAAAACAACATCAGCTTTGCTGTCATTTGCACTGAAAGACCATATCAACTGTCACCTTAAACACAGCAAACAATTCCTGCTTTGTAATCCTAGACTGGGGAAAAAGTTATTCTTTAAAGCAACTTCATTTTACCCAACAGTTAAAAAAACAGTAATTAAGACATAAATTCAAGTTGTGTCAGCAATTAGAATTTGAATATTTAAATTATCAGGCTTACATTTTGAAATAGTAATAAAAACACTTCATCCTTGACTGTTATTTTTCAACATTTATGGGAATTGGGGTTTTGGAAAAAAACAGGATCAAAATATGTCAATGTGGTTGCTTAAATGCTAGCGTTACCAGTAAATTTTTTAAAAAAAGCATGGAATAGAATACTCACTCTAGTAAACATATTTGGACACCTTAAATGTGTAAATACTCATTTGGAAAGATTTTCAATCCTATTTTTTTAAAAAAATCCTGGGATATTCTTAAACACAGATGTGTAGGATCCCATGGAGCCACGGGTCTCACCATTACCTACCTGAAGTGGCTACCACCATAGTTTCAGAGAACTACTACTTCTGGCAATATTGTCATGAATTAAGTTGTAATATAAAAAAAAAGGCTGATGACTAGTTATGACATCACTGCATATATCACAGCTTTCCAGTGTAACAGTGCAGAGTATGCACAAATAATTTTGGAGGCACTGTTAAGCAGAGGATATTTATCATTTAGGCGATTGTACACATAAAGCAAACGGTATTGCATGTCTACACTGTAGTGACGGAGGTATTTCAGATATTTTAAAAACATTCCATTATGTGCTTTGCAATAATGATAGATAATATGGAACAGATTCAGGGAATGTGAACACTTAAAGTTAATAGCTCCAATTGCACTGTTAGCAAATAAGGATCCTCATGATTTAACCACATCCTCCTACTCACAAACTTAGAACTACTTCATTAGAACATTTGTGCAGATGTCTCAGTAACACACTAAATTACTATTTCCTTACAACAATGAATAATGCTAGAAACTAACTGTTTTATTTTACAAAAATAGTATCTAGGATATTTTCATTTAACTTATCCATGTTCCAGCATTGCTTACCAATCAGCCATTTTATAAACATTCCACAGCAGTGTTTGGGCTTGCTAAAAATATTTAAGAGATGTGTGGATTACTTTTTAGTTCTAATGAAACAATTCACTGATGCAGAACATAGTAGTCTCTTATTCTGCAGTAGAGTGAAGGATTCTTGCAACTGGGGCATTCCGTTTCAGAGCAAAACACATTTCTGGATATAGTTACGTGTAACAAACTACTATAAAACAATCTCAAACACCAAAACGTTGAATATCCCCAAAGTACTTTAAGTGACTGCCTTAATTTTTTTGAACGCCTGGTATTTAGGAATGTCGGTTTTACTAAGCATGTAGGTGTTTTAGAATAGTCACAGAACTGCTTAATAATCCATAGTGGAGGAAAAAAGAGCATGTAACTTACATTATTCATATACTCGCTAAGTAGGTCCTGGAGGGCCTGTCGTACAGCATTGCACTCAGCAACAATTCTCTCTCGGCGGTCATCACGTGTGCATGAAGAGTCTGCCATCAGTGCAGCTCCACTGATAATACTCTCCAACCTCTCTTCAAGAGATGGTCTGAATCTGGCCTCACTGAAAGTCATAGGGTCTAAAATAATCTTGTTCTGAAACATAAAACATGCATAGAGAATTGAACAGCAGTCTTGGGCATTTGCTATAGTTTTTGAACTATCCCCTTGTATGTCTTTTCATCTTTCTTTCTGAATAAATACATTAGTTCTTGACTACGTTCTGGGACTTACTGAAATATCTAGTCCCTATGAAATTCAATGTCCTTAAAATAGCATATTTTAAAGAAACCGACAACATACAATTGTACAATTGTTTAAAGTCTATATTATTGGCAATAAAAATCTCAACAGATGGGTGTTCAAATATGTCAACAGCCTACAGCAAAAAAGGAGGTAACCTTTAAGCACTCTAAACTGAAAACTATTATATTTATTGGATCTTATGGGGCTTTTCACAGCTCAGAATTGGAACATGAAATGTAACAAACATGCTACTGTCATCCTGAATGCCTCAGTTCCATAAAATACTCAAATCTCTGTTAATATCACATAACATATCTGGTGCTGCACTATTGAAATAATCTAACATTCAGTTTCAATGAATGGGACTTTTCCCCATTTTTAAAATCACTATAAATCACACAGATTTCATTAAATTGGACTAGATGTATTTTTTTCATAATATTTTTACAACTATTGCTTATCGACTTGGCCTCTGAACACATTTCTTCATTACTTTAGTAGACAGTGAACTAATGTAAGCTTGCATTAGGTGTTGGGCTGGTCGGGTTATGTTTTTGTTTATCAGAGCACTGATGGTTGTTTGATCCACTGTTCTGGAGATCGGGGTCAACTCCCAGTTTTCTCATATTTCTTGTGCTAGTTTCGACAAGTCCCTTGATCTTTCTGGCTTTTCTAACACCCATTATCTGTGAAATGGCAAAGGTAATAATACTTCATCACTACTATCCTTTGCATATCTTGTCTATTTACATCATAAGTTCTTTGGGGGAAAGACCATCACTTACTATGTGGGTGTACATTACGTAGCACTGTTTCATTGGGGGCCTCTATACATTACTAAATAATTAGATAGACTATGAAAAGAGATATATACCAAAAATGAAATTAGTACATATATTCACTTTTGAATTGTACAGAACTGTTCATCCTTATAAAGAAAAGCTTTCTATCCAAATCTTTACCTAAGGAGGATCTTATTTTTAAAAATAGCCTCCATTTTGTTCTTCAATTTTTTTGCCCACAACTGATTGTGAATGAACTTTACTGGCCATTCAGATGAAAGCATTTGCACATCTAATGGGTTATGCCATCAATTAAATTCACGTCTAGGTTAGTTTTAAATAGTCCTAAAAATGGGGTCTCCATGACTTCAGTTGTGTCTACCAGAATGTACAGTGAGAGAGTTGTTCCTCTGATCAGGTTAACTTCTCTAATCTTTGAGTGTTTTGATAAATTGAGGGTTAGCATAGTTTCCATAAATTACATTGCATGAATATCTGTACATTGTTTCATATTAACATGCATAAGTAAGTAGCAAATGTGATTTGACTATAAATGGCAGTTATGATGTGCATTTTCCATGATCTTTGTAGTTGGTGATTTTTCTAACTTCGGTATACATTTATACATTGAAATTACATAAATAAAGTTACCATGGCTTAGAGCACTGGTGTATTATGGTTATAGTCAAACTTCATGTTGGCTGCTCAGGATGAGGTTTGGAGAATATGTAGGAAGTGAATAGAAGAAGTGACTTAGCTGAGGTTAAAAAGTGAAATTGATGAATTGGAGAGACAATCAGGTGTTTGTTATCTGAAATACTTATGTCTTGACAACATTTTGTATTAGTAAGCTATATATACATTTTTACTACCTCGACTCAACATTAACCAAGGTTTTCTGAAGGGAAATATCACAAGTTTATAATAATTTTGCATCATGGTTATTTCTTGAATATTTTAAATAGCGGTGGGGTAAAAATATTTTAAATAAATTAAATAAATAAATATTGCTAATCATACAGACATACCCCCATTTCCCATCCTGCAGCATGATACATCTTCCCCATAGCTTTGCTTTTCCTTCCTGCTTTCCCACTTTTCCCCACAGGCACTCCTTCTCCACCCAGCATGCTTCCATGTACAAACTCCATGCCCAATCCAAACGATAGGAGTTTCATCGCAAACGTGCTAATAGTCAAGTTGTTCCACAAAGTGACAGCAATTACATGTGTAGGGAGTGAGAGATCTATGTTTCTGAGTACTCTTTAATCTATCAGGAAAAGGCAGAATGAAATCCAACCAATTCAGGCTAAAAATAAGGTGGAATTTTTTCCCCCAATAAAAGAAAGTAATAATTGGAACGAATTACTTAGGGATGTGGTAGATTCTTCACCACTCAAGGTCTTGGAGTAAAGACTTCTAAACTTAGAACTCAAACAGAAATGGATTGCTGTGCGCAGGTGTACGGCTTGTGTTATATAGGATGTCAGTCTATAGCATCATAATGGTCTTTTCTGGCTGTAGAAACCAATGAACATGTTATCTTACTGAAATTATTTCAATTAAGTGAAATTGTTTTAGATGGATGGTTTCAATGATGTTCACTCCCTGTAACGACAAAAGCTCTTGTATATCGTATGCACAGTAGTTATGTTTTTTCAGAAAAAATATTTTAGCAATATTAATATTTATTTTGATGCTAAAAGGCATAATTAAAAGTACTGTACCAGGAAATGTCAGAGGCCAGCATCACAAAAGGTCTTCTGCTACTTTGTGGCAGCAATCCACTACATTTCTTTTTCCCTGGCAAGACCTCTGCTGCTGTCTTCCAATATTCAATGACAGAAAGTCCTATGTTGTTTATGGAAGTTTTTATTTTAGCTCATTTTTCACCTGATACCCTCATTCCAAAATACCTGGCTGTTATTTCACACTTTGTAAAATCTGAAGGATTGCATGGACTTGGGCTTCTTTTTGCCAAGTGTGTGAACATTTTGAAATTGCCTTGAAGCCAGGTTTCCTACGTACTAGCCAAGAGGTCAGCTTTTGAACAAGTCAGTAACTAGAATTGTTTACATTCATAGAATCATAGCGCTGGAAGAGACCTTGGGAGGTCATCAGTCCATGCCCCTTCCCAAGGCAGGACCAATCCCAACTGAATCATCCCAGCCAGGGCTTTGTCAAGCCGAGACTTAAAAACCTCTAGGGATGGAGATTCTACCACTTCCCTAGGTAACCCATTCCAGTGCTTCACCACCCTCCTAGTGAAATAGTTTTTCCTAATATCCAACCTAGACCTCCCCCACATTACCTAGACAGATTTTGATAAATAGAGATATTTTTGTCATAAAATTATTTAACTGAGCGGTCCTTAGAGATTAAACCAAATGTGCTATGCATAAATGTGCAGGATGATTTATACAATCACATAACATTAGGAAATAAAGTATTTTATTCCAACTGGAAAAATGTTTATTTTTAAAAGAACAATCTATTTGCTTTCCAGGTTAACATTAATCTCAAATTAATGTTATCGTGTTGCTGCACAAGTTGATTTGCAGTGTAGGAGTTAAATTACCAGATGGTAAATTCTGCAAATGTACTTAAACCTTAACCTTAAGTGTACTGCATGAGATACTGATAAACTATTTTGGATCACCATTGTGGTATTTTCTGACTTATTTTTGTTTCTTTATAATTCAAGGTGGCAGATGGAAAAGAAAAGTCAATCTGCGCTCCTGCCTACAGGCACTTTACCTACACCACCTGCTGCTCTCTGAAATTTGGCTAGGATCATGCAGCAGGTTTCATGTTTAAACTCTTTGCAAAGCTGCTGTATTACCATATCTCTGCAGTTACCATCTGAACCTCAAAAGAAAATGAGTCATGAAGTAAATATAGAGAGAGCTACACTTGGGGATGGGAGAGAATTTATCCAATTATGGAGATGCATATTACAGTCATTATTTGAAATAGACCATTCAAATGCCAAATCATGACAAATTCTAATAAACTATTTTAATTTTCACAACATTTTGATGAAACATACGTTTGTGCAGTCTACTGTCGGGGAAACTACCCTGCTAGAAGAGGCTGTTGATTACAAGGAGTGTATTTTGTGTTCAAATATATTTTGAGGATTATATATATATATATATATATATATATATATAATCCTCAAAATATATTTGAACACAAAATACACTCCTTGTAATCAACAGCCTCTTCTAGCAGGGTAGTTATAATGAAGTTATAACAAATTGTTTTCTGATGTTATTTACATTATGTGAACGAGCGTATTATAAAGTCAAAGGTGAAATCCTGGCCTCAGAGAAGTCAATAGCAGGCTTGTCACTGAACTGAGTAGTGTCCAGATTTCTAACCAGATGTCTAATTTTTTTTAAATGCATGGCACCATACATTCGGACAAGTGAGAAGATTATTTAGAGTCTAGGGAAGGAAACTGAAGGCAACAGCAGAGAAATAATAAACACAGGAATATGTGGGTACTTCTGTAAGATTAATTGCTTAATAAAGAAGAAACACGCAGTTGAACAATTTCAACCAAATGCCACATTGTTCCACCTCCACCAACTGTTGAGGTGGCAGAAGTGAATGCATCATTCTCGGGTACATGCTATTATGTCCCATACTTACCTTCTAGCATATATGTCAAAGAAAGTGTTCCAGTTTTCCTGGCAACTAAATCATAACTGATCTCCTTGACAGAAACTGTTCATTCTGACAGGGCTGATCCTGATACTCATTCCTTAGGTGTGCACTTTACTGTAATACTTGAAAATGACCTTGTTTCATTACCATTCAATAAATACCTCTAAGAATTAACAAAAAAGTAAAGTTACCCTTATTATCATACTGACAGTCAATAGATTTGTACTACTCGAGAAAATGCCGTGAATAAACCGAGATAATTATTTCCTAGTCTTTTCATAAATGTGAATGGTTACAAACAACGGTCTGTGCTTAGATTACTTTTTTTCCGCTGAACATTTTCAACATTTCCTGAATAGAGTGGCTTTTTAATTAGAATCATACAAACCAACACTC